TAATATAACATTTTTTTTTAACTACATTTATTACCTTGGGGTAAAGTTTTTTGGTTTTGTTATACAGATTCTATACGGAAGCGCAATACTATCTTCTATGTAAACTAATTAAAATTAATAACCATTAATTATATATTATTTTAAACATTTTAATTTGTATGCTAAATCCATTAAGTGCCTGTAATATTAATGCAATATTAAAACAACATTAAGATTTAAACCTATATAATTGAGTATTATATAATTTTTACAAAATATTCAAACGTTTTAAGTTAGTCAATGTTCTAGTACAAGTTTCATATATTTGCAACTGAACATTATATAATATATTGTACTATCACTAATATATAGTAATTCCGAGTAACTTCTTTAAGTTTTATTTTGGTAAATATGTGAAGTTACAATAATTTTTACAATTGTTTTGTCGCGCCATTTATTCTAACAAAAATCTAAGTCAAAATCGAACAAAAAATATCGTCAGTTGTATAATTTACAACTAGTTTATAAACATACATATTATGTGTGTTACAATTTAAAAAAGTATTAACATAGGCGTAATTCGGGTGATCTAGAAGGGACTTATGCCCTAATATTGTTGCAACTTCCCTACTTTAAAAAATTATGAAAATTACTTATACATTTATACAGAAATATTTTTAAGTAGGGGAGAATTTGAGTTAGATTCCCTAGATACTTTATTAAAATTACGCTTATATTTATTTATTTTACAAGTGATTGAAAAAGTTATAATAAACAAACTTGTATAACCTTTTAACGGAAGGTTTTACTGTTTACAAGTGGTTTATTACTAAACAAACCTCTTAGAACTAGTTTTCTTTTAAAAGAGTTCATAATATGAAATATTCACACTGAAAATGTTTTGAAAAACATGGACAACTTCGTTTGATAATTACTTGTAATATTTTTTCATTTAGTCCTTTAATGTACAACACATTACACTCTTAAAAAAAACATCCGAATTTCCACATATCTGTACTGGAACTATTTAACTCGTATAAAGTAAGAAAAAATATCTATAAATAATGAAAAAAATGTTTTATTTTTGTTAAATTTTTCAATACATTATATGAAAATTACACTACATTGTGTAAAATTAACGTGTATATTATAAATATCATACTGACGTATGGGAAATTTTAGATAATTTACTAGAGCGTGTAAACATATTTATTTAGTAAATTAATATAACATAGATCAAAATGATTTCATTTAACTATTGTGTTTTATTATGAAAATTTATTCGAAGAGGATGTAACATCAAGGTTAGTAGACTTATAAGCAAACTAATAATTTACATATAAAATACTTTTCTTCTAACACTACTTTAAAATTTAATTACTACACATGCCTCACATTTATCCAAACATATTATCATGTACTTACATTATACATCATACTAATTAACATTTACTGTTGAACATTCAAAATAAAAAATAATAATTTTGTACTATTTTTACATATATATTATGTATCAAGGAATTTCTATAAACATTTTACTGATAAGAATGACTAGAAGAAAGTTACAAATATTGAAAATTAACTTAATTTTGTTGCTATGGATACTAATTTTATTTTATAAACTATTTTAGTTGATATAATTCAGTTTTAATTATAATCTTATGTCACTAATATCAAATAAATTTACACATTTTCAATGTTGGCAATGACTATAATTATAATGATGATTATTATTATCATACTCAACAATATTATCAAAACGATCTCAGAATTAGACGATTATTTTACTTATATACGACGCAACATATAATTTGTGTACTTTCTACATCATTGACACAATTATCAATTCAGAAATAAAACAATACTTAAAATGTCTTAAATAATCTCATTTTTATTGGTCTTATTGTGTAAAAATTACCTAATTCCTTACTTAGACTCAAAACCATTTTTAGAAAAAATATTAAACGTCATATAATTATGAAAGCTATTACTTAATATTTGAAATTAGTAACAGTTAATATTAATTTGTTGCCTTTAATCATTTAAAAAATAGGTAATAAAACAATTTTATTAGTCTACTAATATATTTAAAAGTTTTGCAAGTTATTTCAAGGACTTTATTATTGCAATAATATAATAAGTGATAATTTGATAGATAAAAAAATTTTTTTATATATTTGCTTATGATTTAAAAACACTAGAAAAAATTTTAATTACATTAGATAATAAAAATTCCGTCAAATCGTTTAAAGCAGTCGACCCCATATAGTTGAGATAAAGTCTATTGTAATGACGATGATACTGATAATTATCAGTATCATTTATTATAATAAATCCAATTGGTTTAATATCGATCGCAATTGTATTTTTAATGAAATTAATCTGATAATTTTTGATTAGTGAAAATTTAAATTAAATAATTATTTAATTTAAAATAAAACACATGTTTTTGATAAAAATAAATTATTACACTGTTATGTAATGTGATTGAAATTTATCAAATCCAAGTATCTTTTTGAGTACTAAATCTAAGTAGACAGCCTATTTAGCTCAGTCGAAATCGTTTCGTGTCTTAGTTCGTTGGTGCCAGTGTTAGATTCCTTTGTGTTGAGCTATGCAGGGTTATTCGTCTTCTTATTACAAGCATAGCTTTTCAGAGAGAACGTTAAAGATAAATAGAGTTATAATAAAAAAGAAAACCCAGAACAGTGAGTTCGCGGCAAAGTTGGGTCCAGTGATTAAAATCACTATCATAAAAAACGCTTCGATACAAATCTGTAGATAGTGTATAATTTTAAAAATTGGTGGATTATTCCAAAAGCAACATGATCTCCTATTTCTTTATTTATATCCTGATTGCATGTTATATGATTAATATAAGTGTAATATACACAGAGTAGAACGAATCTAACTGACAACTCATATAACTTATGATCTACATAACATTTTATGCTTTTTTTTTTTTTTAAATCAATTTTTACAATATAGAACTATATTAAAATATGTTTTATGTTATTTTTCGCAATTACAAAAAATATTTTAAAAATTAATTTTTTTATTAAAATTATTTTTAAGATTTTAAGGTATCCATTTTATAGGTAAGTTTTAAAGAAAAATGTTGATGCCAAAAATTCTTATTTTAATTCGGTAGTTACGTGTATACAGCATTTTGAAATTTGTTAAATTTTGATTTTTTTTACAATTTTCCAATAGTATCAAATGTTAGTCCATATTATGTAAAGTAGAGAAGTAAATACTTATTACGTTATTTACTAGTAACAGTATGCGATTTCTTTTCCATGAAAATTATTGACATTTGAATAAGTATTTGTAATTGACATGAAAAAACAATTAGTAGTATAATTCAGATTATTAAAAAAAATTATAGAAACATTGTCTAAAACATGTTGAATTTTTATTAAATAAGTTAATATATCATAAATTGAAACGTGAATAATAGTGAATAAATGTATTTATCAAATCTCCTATCAAGGAATATCCTATAATAATATGATTACAATGATAGAATCACGTAAAATTAATAATTGTTATCACTTTTAATTTGGCCAACCATGGAACACTCATAGTTGACATAAGATAATGTTTCTAACTTTTGTAATAAAGATTAAAGATAATCATTTTTGTATAAAGCGCGTTAAACGTTATTATTATTCCATGGAAAAGAAATCGCGTACTGTTACCAGTAAATAATGTAATAAGTGTTAACTTCTCTACTTTACATAATATGGACTAACATTTGATACCATTGGAAAATTGTAAAAAAAATCAAAATTTAACAAATTTAACAAATGCTGTATAAACGTAACTACCGAATTAAAATAAGAGTTTTTGGTATCAACATTTTTTTTTAAAACTTATCTATAAAATGGCTACCTTAAAATCTTTAAAAAAATTTATATATATATATTATGTATGATATTTATTATAGCAATTAAGTATAGTATGAAATTTATATTTATTAATTTAGTATTGTAATTTTTACGGAGAATTTATAAAAAATTATAAAGTAGTTATTAATTTTATGGAAAACGTATATAAAAGTTGAAGGTCATGATGCAATACTTAAAAAAATAATTGTTTGTCATTTATAAATTAATTTACTGGACTCCAATGAATTTTCGTCTGAGACCAAAATATACTTTTCTAAATCCATTTTTGCGCCGATTTGAAATCTCCAATAAGAGTTTCGCATATAGCCTAAATAATAACAAAATCTTTCTAATTAATATAACAAATATTAATATTTATTGATTATTAGGTTACGTATGAATAATCAATAAATATATTTTAATTACAAAATAAGTTGAAAAGTTCGACTTTCTATACGCATTTTCAAGTTTTGATCAACCATGTATAAAAGGAAATGATCCGGATTAAAAAAAAATATGTCGAATGAAAGAAGTATTTAAATAATATTTCTCATAAAAAAATTGTATTGATCCAGACATTTTTCAAAAATTTATAGCATTATAAAGTTAAAAATGTAAAATCAAGAATTTTAACACAAAAATAGCATTCGGTAGCCATTTCACCACGAAGACAAAATAAAGTCCGAAATTTTATTTGTACATGGTAAAGTATATTACATTAGCTTTAATTTAAGATATATATAAAAGTGTCAGTATTTCCGGAACACTTTCAAAAGTTAATTTTTCGTGAAAAATTTGTCATTTTGATTACCCTTTATGGACAGTTAAAGGGTCAGATTTACAAAAAAAATATACAAAATGATAGGTAAATATCTCATGTATTCATAAAAAAACAATTTATATTGATTTGATTATTCTTAAAAAAGTTATTCCAGTTTTAAGTAATGAAAATTGAAAAAATTTTGAATAAACAATTTTTACATTTATAATTTTTTTGGAGGTTTCCCCCATTTACGGGGAATGAGGGAATTTTTTTCAATTTTTGAGGGTAATGTCTTCGACTAGATACNTTTGAATAAACAATTTTTACATTTATAATTTTTTTGGAGGTTTCCCCCATTTACGGGGAACGAGGGAATTTTTTTCAATTTTTGAGGGTAATGTCTTCGACTAGATACTATTCGTGATCTTTTAACGTATTATTGAAAGAAATCGGTTTGGTGAGAGCTGAGAAAAAATGGTAAAGACACAAAAAAAACACATAATAGTAAAATTAATACATTCACAGCTTCACATCGAAGCTAATAATATGTTTTTTTATAATAATAATAAGCTTTTTTTTCATTTTTACATTTTTATTTTTATATTGTATATTCAAAAACGAATAAACTGCACAATTTCATTTAAATGCGTATTTTTTCTTTTTTATGCATTGAACAAAATTAATTCACTTTTTTACCTCAAGGTTAATCAGGAATAATTTTTAAATGCTTGTAGCTATCATACAATTGATTGATATTATCAGTATCACGATTTTTGTTATTTGTAACGCTACAATATTAGCGTATTGAATGTCATTTTCGGTAAATATTAACTCGCTGCAATTAAATAAATATTTAATAATGAAATAGTTATGTATCAATTCTATCAGTTTATTTATTGTATAGGTCAGCAGAAACATGCTCATGTTAACAGTTCAGTGAACATAAAAAACTTCAGGCTTATCACAAATCAATACGATCGATATGATGTTGAATAGTTATTTGGATTTTGAAGGATACAGATTTGATGAAACCAATAAAAAACCTTAATGGAACTAGATCAACACGTCGTTATGTGAATTTACTTATATTTTTCTTTCTTCGGTATGCCACCGGTCACGATACAGCACATTTAATGCAAAACGGCAGCGACTACAATATACTGGCGAAAGTGAAAGACACGCGCTGTTCGGTGACCCAAAAATGGGGGCGAGGGCAACGCGGTAACAGGATTCACGTCAGCGGACAATAACCGTTTTTTGTCAGACCGCGAATGCAGTGGAAAACAAAAGTAAACCCTCGCACGTTGTTTGCACGATATTCAAACTTGATTTATATTATTGTAAATGTATTAAAATATTGTGATACGAAATCGGCACGTCTTGCGAGTTGCCAGAGGAATACCACCGTGCCGAGTGAGTCTTGGCGGTAAATCATGAACGCTATGGGTGGCTAAGAAAACTTTCTAGTAGGGATAAAACACATAAACAGGCATTAATAAAACATAAATGTAATTTTTTTCATTTTCCCTAGAAGACTGTATTTCTCGCGATTCAAGGACAATGCATACAATCCGAACCAGTATCCTGGATGCAACTTAATCCTTTTTTATGACGATTTTCCGGCTAACGAATCATCGTAGAATATTTGTCGCCTATTGCTGTTTTATAGGCCGTATTAAGCTTAATATATAATATAAGTTTGGTTAAAAAATAATATCTCCTATTGTACTTGACATATTTAGATACACACAAAATCAGTATAAAATTTTAACTAATTAAAGAATGTAGGACGACAAAAAAATGTATCGTGTATTATTTAATTGATCACACATAGAAAATATAATTTATTTCATTGTTTAAATGTTTTAATATGAACGTCCCGGTAAATTTAAAATGTATTTTTTCCACAATGAATACTACAAATTATATAGACTACAAAAGGTTTTTTTATATCATTTAAATGGAAATTAGTTACCTGAAGGATAACGATATTGAGTGAGTAATTTAAAAAGATATTATTACATGTCTTCTAGGTATAGTTTTTTTTTATAGCACATTTTTAAAAAAATTATTAAAATACATGCCGTTTTATTGTTGTTAAAGTAATTGGCCAAAATACTTTGAAAATTTTAAATCTCAAAGCGATTTATAGTCGACACATATATAACGTTTTATTAAAAAAATCATAAAATACTACGTTGGCTCTAAAATCCGTGATGCTGATAATCATCCTAGATAGGCGCGATTAGTGTCAATAACTTTTTTAGCTATGCTATCTGCTGTGGTTTGACGAAATGCAATATTTTTCATTTAAGTTTGGGTATTGTGCAATATTATAAACATTTTATTAAACAACGAATATATAAATAAATAGGTCAGTTTAGGAAATATTGATTAACTTGTATTTAGGAAAAAGTATTTTACATGAGAATCAACCGAATAAAAATATTTCTAAAAAAAA